GTGCTGATTGACGATTATCACAGATGTTACTCTAGAAAGGCGAACGAAAGCAACTGTAAACAAATACAAAATGCTTGGTATTTTCGGAACACAATTGGCTAGAGAAATAAATGCACACTCTTTAAATCAGAGTACTTTATAAGGCTTCTCTGGCCTGCCGGCACCGTCAGGCTCCTGCAGAAAGTGCATTGACAGCGCCGTTATGTCCTTCTTCCCTGGTTGCCCCGCTTCTAACAGCCAGACAACCGTCCCTGTGTCCCACACTGCCTACGTCAGTGAGTTTTCCAGCCGGGGATGCAGCATATACGTCACGCAGGGAATTTTTATATCGACACGCAATCCGGTATAATGACAAAATCTGTGAATGACTAAAGGTAAATGCGCCTTGTCGCATTTGTATGTGAGCGTACAAAGTGAGTAGGGCAGATAGACATGTCACTATCACTGTCTCACTCTCATAACTTGATCAGCTGGTGGTTGGTGACACTTATAAATCTTAAGTCTGATGATACGCCATGTCATTCCTTCAAAAGTCACTTTTATAAATTATTTTGTCCAGGTCATAGACAGTTCATCGTTTCTTGCAGAATTACAAAGAACTTTATTAATCCATTATCCCCCATTACTTTAATTACCCTGAGGGATACGTAGGCCACTAGACACATGGCCCTTGTTAGCTTCACCACCGCCTAGACGATGCAATCAAAAACGACATTTCCGAACTAGTAAAGTACAAGGGTTTTTTTGCGTTACTCTGATAACTCAACTAACGAGACTATCAGTAAAGTAAAGGATGAAGGGGGACAGTCAGCAGTCCAATCAGGTTTGCGAAAAATACGACCAATTAGATGAAGTTGCACCACGTTGATCTGGAAGCCAGGATTAAACGGTATCAGTCTCATGTCGTTTATGGAATAAGATAGAGTTTTCATAAAAGAAACTACTCACAAGGTTGCTGAAAACTCTTCAAGAGATTCAGTTGAGTCTCTCGTGAAAACCAAAGTGATTTGCAAATGAGTGTATTTCTCGAAAACAGTCCAATTCGGGTTCAAGTAGAACATAAGGTTGACGGAAACTCGGGGACTGGGCCTACCTGATGAGCCCCCGGTCGTGGGCTGTCGAAGAGTTTCCAGCAACCTTGTGAGTAGTTTCCTTTATGAAAATATACTGCGATATCTCGAATATCGTGCCAACTGAATCATGAGGCGGCCTGTGTGCAGCACATTCAGTTGTAGAATATCATAAACGAGAGATTCAGTAGTCTCTCGTGAAAACCAAACTGATTTGCAAATTAGTGTATTTCTGGAAGGTAGAGAGTTGTGTGCGAAGAGTTATCCAGTTACATCCTCCTAGCTACTGAGAACTGCGCTCTCCCGCTACATGTCGTGTTACTACCTGCATTTCTCGTTTGATTTGGTGGAATTTAATAACTACGTTAAGGGTACAAATTGTTACCAGGTGCGAAATTTCGCCTATAGTGACTGACACCTTTGATTATGGACACTCCTCCCAAAATGAACTGTGGCTTGGTGAGAAGGGTTAATTACGAATGCATTTGAAATTCTACTGGGACGTTCCTAAGGCCTTAATTAGGCGAAAAACGAGGCGACGACGGTCAACCTAAGGCACTCGCTTACTTTTATCAGACATTTTCTGCACATACGAGAATGGTACACGTACCTACTTATCATCGTCACTTTCCTCATTGTCATTTTCAACAAAACTCGAGATTTACACATTTAGAACATAAAAACTAAAACAAAGTGCTCCGTTTGACTGCGTTTCGGTGAACTTATACATGCTTATGTGTAGTCAAGAAATAGATTTTGTGGTTTCATAAGTGATAGGGCAGAACAGGAGTACGAAAAGAAATCATGCGTAAATACCTATTTGACAACCCTCAACTTTCTTGTACCTATCAACTAAACGTTGGGATAAATTTACACGTACTTCTCGTGGATCCGCAGAGTGGCGGAATCCATAGAACGGCGGCTTGCTCAGTAGTGTGACGTTTTACTCGAAAAAGAACGTGATTCTCTTGAAGGAACACACTCCTCATAAGGATGCCGAAAAAAGTTCACAACCTGGTTCACCCTTTTGGGGCTCATCAGGTAGTTCCCGAGTTTTTGTAAACGTGATGTTCTGCTAGAAACCAAATTACACCCGGAATACACTCTTTTGCAGATTGATTTCGCGCGACACATGCCTGGTTCATGGATGTGATACATGACTCCGCGTACACGATGTAATCTTACACAATGACCATTTGCTTAGAGAACTTTGTTTGCGTTCTCGCATAGACACTTCCATGAGCCAAATATCTTTTAGGCTTTGGCCTACGACAGATATGCACGACAAAGCGCGGAGCGCTGTGACTACCTATTGACTGGTGAATAAATTCGTTAACGATGGCCATCAAAAAACGGTTATGGGTTAGTAAAGGATGAAGATGAAACTCCAATCAGTGTGCCTGCCTTTAAAATGCCCCGGTGCGACTGACACCCGGTGGCCTTAGAGGACAGCATAACCCACACATGGTGAACTTTTACTCTAATGACCCTATTTTATTCACAGAATGCATGCATCGTTCGACACACCGTCCCGTGTGATCGAACAACTAGTGATGCATGTTGCAATTTTGTATATCTTTAAAATTGCCTTCCATCTTGAATGACAGCCTTCCCGGTTAGGGATTCCAATGGATCACCCTTTTATTTTTGTTATAAATGAACCCTATTTCAGTTTGACAAATAAATTTGTATTATCCGTTTTTCTTGCCACGCAAATCGTTTTTATCGCTTCTCTTATACTATGTTTGTACCAAAAGCTTGAACAACTATAAATTTGTTTCAATGCATCAGTTTGCGACCCGAGTTCGATCACGCGTTGACTGTCAATTCATATTGGCTTTGTTTGCTTTTTGGAGTACCTCGCCGCTTGTCGAAAACCGTTGAAGTTTGTAATTTCGTATCTATGAAACTACTTTTATATTTATAGTACAGCACACTTACGTAACCATTCGTTCGGAGTTTTGACGGTGTGGTTGCTAACTTTGGTGCTCGTTGCTCAATAAAATGAAACAGTTGTTACAATTCATTCACCAGTGTCATATAATCACCAGTATCCCAACAAACTACCATTCGCCTTTTGCATTCAAGGACCTCAACTAACTTCTCGTCTGTTATTAAACTAATTGACTGAAACGAAATTCAGAGAACATGTAGGAGACGAATAAAATGAATAGTCGTGAAACTGTGGGAGAATGGGACAATCAGAAATGGCCTTTTGGTTTCGAGTGGGGTCAAAATTCTTACAGGACCCTCTCCGTGTTTTAGCCGAATAATTATGACTATTGAATAATGAACGAATGACGCGGTGAAACTTCACCCTTCCTTATTCTTATTTAGCAGGCCGTGGACCAGGTAGGAGCCATGACAAAGGTACACCCCCCTAGTTGCTTTGTTACCGCTTGATGATTTCAGGACGTTTTGGACCAAGGAAACGAGCAATGGCTTAGGAAAAGGCAAACTTCAGGAACCAAAAACCCACCCTGACCATTGAATTTACCAAAGAAGGGATCACAAAAACATGATACTCGAGACAACAACATTCACATGGCGATTTTGGCGCACATGGTCGTTCTAATGGATAGTGTTTCAGCGTGTAGTCATCAAAATTTCAAGTACATGCGGATGATCATAGTAGTCCCTCTTGATACAGGCTAACAACAAAAACCCTTCAACCAAATAGACCATTATTTGTGCATGAATTTGTTTTTTAGAGTACCGAGCGGTGTGTTTAAAAGACATATGAAGCCACACGTAACAGAACGACTTTGTTACTTCAAAATGTCATATCGGCCAGCTAGTATTTAGGGTCAGGATTTTTGTTTACAAAGGAACCCGACAGAGCTCCACTCCTCGAAACCGAATGAGTTTATGACTGTAGCTGGTTCCCCGGAAGGTGTTATCTGAATGAAGAAGTTTAAGTAAATTTACCGGAACTGCTGAGCCAACCCCCCGTTAGAACATGCTGTGATAGCAGCGGTTGTGATTCCCACCTACTTATGGTTGGAAATTTATTTCAATCATTTTGGCAACCTAAGGGTCGATAATTAACCACCCCAATTTCTCGGCACTGGTACCTTCTTCTACCTTCTGATCGAGTTTATCACCTAGGCCATTATAAAGTGCACATTTCAGAGTACCAAACTATTATCTGAAGAAAAACCGAAATATTTAGACAATGCAAATATATTTGATTATTTCCGACAGCATATTCGCATTTCGCTCCAACTGTGGTATCAAATGTCAGTCCCGGTTTCGGTGTGCATTTGGCGCACACTTGAAACTTCAAGATGATTAACTTCAGTTTACTGATTGGTCTACGTATCTTGTCAGTTGCGTAAACCATGTTATGCACTATGACAAACGAAGTCAGTGCACGCATGCACGCACGCGCAATATTCGGCAGTTTGTGCCATCTTTGGCGTCACCTACGTAATTCACTGTGGCCAAAAGGCCATGACTACAAAACAATCGTAAGCTGAATATTGTTATACGACTGTGAAACTTGGCAGCTCCAATTCACATACCAAAAATTTCCCCAAATATTTGGCTGACGTCTTTTCAACATAGTGAGCCTTCAATGACTGCAGCCTATCTGCAATTATGTGGATCGAAATAAAACAACCTGGAATCGCTGGAATAATGAATAAAGCTCCCCAAGTTAAAGTGCACGTGTAACATATGCCTAGCCGATATCTACGCAAGAAAGATTCACTTTCTACTCTCAATCCTTGTCATCGAACACTTCGCAGAGGATAAGCCATGGTATGACAATTCGATTACTCTTAAACCGAGTGCCGTAAGATTTTCGCGGCTCCCTGACTGGGGTTCACGCGATTCTACATACACGTGACTCTGATGAAGATGTTTAGGTTCATTAGCCGGGTCATCCAAGTACAGTCTGCCTGTTACTGTATTCTTGACTTGTGTTAGTTGGGACTAGCGAAAACATTGAACTTGACTCTACCACAAAGCTCACATGCTGCCCAAAGTCAAACGATGCCTCCAGATCTCTCGAACATTTTCCAGGAGGGCATGGAAGTTTTGCTAGTGAGTCCCTCATCTTTAGTTTTCTCTCGTTTTCGTTCTTTTTCACATTTGCATTGGGATCTCCACGATTATGTGGCAGTTTTTCTGCAGCATTTCAGAACTGGCGTAATACTGTCCATGACGACGATTTTTGGGCTGGTAAAGCCAAATCAGATATGATGTCTGCTAATATCAGCCACTAACGAGAGAGGGCTGTCGTGAGCATTGAAACGTTGACAGATCGAACATGAAATGACCAACTTGATCATGTCTCGTCAATATGGGTGCCCGAAATTATCCACAGGGCATACTAGTTGCACCGGTGCATTTCAGTCGCCCGTTCCCTGTTGAGGATTGTTTGCATTAAAGGGGGGTCAGCATATCACGAGCTAACCTATTGAAAAGAAAATTCACATAAAAACTATTCTGCGTGTTACAGGGTCCCTTTCCTTCTAAACGCAATTCCTGTGACAAAGAACTCTAATGCTGGCTGTAAACGACATTTTGGTTATTCTTATTTTGTTCACCCCTCTAACATTCCACCTGATCCGCCCAGGTTTCTGTCATTTGACAGGTGATCGTCCCTTTGGTGGTAGGTGAGATTTGAGCTGTATAAGCAATAAAGGTACATGAAAGTCCCCAAACGCAGTCCAGACTGTGCTTCCGGCGAATACTTGCCGACAATAAAGGCATGATTACGTAAGCGCACTCAGAAAACGACAAAACCAGTCGCGAACGTGTGCGACTTCGTACAGAACTGACGAATGTAGTTGTCGGAGCAGACTTATAACTTAAGGGAATCCACTTTTTCGAATTCACGCATGGATATCCGTTGGCTAGCGTGTTTCTTTTAATCTAACCTGTGAAAGAGAGAAAGCTACTGGCTTCACAACAGACTTTTACTGTATGTACATCCGAGGTGACAACGTGAACAAAGTTAACTCGGCCTAGTGAGTATACGTCAGTCGAACAAGAACGGAATAAAATAATCGATATAAGACGGATCGGCAACATCACGACACATGCGCGCAACCAACTGCCAGAATTTGTATGAAGGTATGAGCAAAGCTAACCAGTGCATTTTGTTTCATCTTAATCAACCGGCCTTGTGTCCAAACACTGAATTATTCCTAAACATGCTCCCCCAGGCTCTGACCCACGTAGTGTTTTCCTTAGCATAATTCGATGACTTCTGACTAGTTGAGAAGCTTGGCAGGTGCTGCCACAAGTTCCGCACAAGTTAATGAATATTTCATGGTCCTTAAGCTCAACGTGCTATAAACAACTTTGCGTGGAACCGGTTCCATCAACTTCTCAGGGACGTAGCTGATGAACTGCACTGAAAAAGCGCATGAATCCACTACACCAACTGGGAAGTGAGACTGGCAGTCCGCGAATGAAAAAAATGCGTAAAGGTGTAAATAGTGCTAAGGGATACTCATGCATTTGGTGACCTTCAAATTTTGTGCATCGTACCGACGAAGGGAACTCTACGAATAGCTATGAACACTGAGAGTATATTGTCCCTCGAGAGAAGTATGGTACTTCTCTCTTTTCTCAGTCAGAGGGTCAGTTCCGACTAGATAATCCTTCCCCAAGGAGATTAAAATTTTCCTGGCGAAAAAACTCTTGGCAAGAATAAAAAAATGCGTTTCTGATCTAACAAAAAATTCAACTGTTTATGACAGTGAAAGATCAAGACTACAGTATAAGTTATTGGTTGGAAAAGACGATAAACAGTAGAGCTTAGAACACTTTGCTAGGGGACTGATGGTTTAGAATTAATACCTTTGGATACTGGAATTTGTAATCGCTAAAGACGTGAACCATTCAATCCAGTCAAACAAACCTATATTTCATGCCAGTTAACATAGAAGATAGCGCGTTTGTGTCAACCGTTGAATGTATTTTCACGTTTCTTTGGTATCCAAAAGTTTTGGCCCAGATACGGGTACAACGAACGTCCTGAACTTCAGTGAAGTGTATAAAATAAAACACGAGGTTGTTCGAACAATGTCCACCTTCAGTAGTTCGGTGAAGTGCAACATAGTTCCTTTTTCGTTCGAAGATGTCCTTACGAGAATTTCGACTGACCCGAAAATAGTGACCAATCTTGTCCGGACACAACACACTACTCATAAGGCTGCTGAAAACTCTTCGACAGCCCTTCTTGGAGCTCATCGGGTGTATGCAGTCCGCGACTTTCCGTCAACCCTATGTTCTACTTGAACCCAAATTGGAGAGATTTAGACAAGTACTCCCATTTGCACACAAATCTGGTTTTGACAGGAAACCCAGCTGAATCTCCCTGTTGTCCTGAATGTCCTGTTGCTTTGCTATCCCTATGCAACGACCGCAGCCAACAGGTTACAGGTGAAATGTCCGGTTTTTAACAGGTGACTATGTATTTCAACTCGGATTCGAAGTTTGGCCGTTTGGTAATCGGTAACACGCACAAATGCGGGCGTCGAGATGTCAGTCAGTTGGATTCTATCACTGTTGCTGGGTCGGCACGACGGATGTGTACTTGGGTACTAACCTGTAAACAGACTCATGCGAGCTGAAGGACAAAACCTCAAACAACTGAACAACAAAACAGTCCGCATTTTTTGCACCTAATGGGTTGTATCCACTGGCCTATGTTTCGCTTTGACCAGTGAGGGATTCCATCCACAGAGATCGGAACTCGGATCGGCCCACAACCGCTACCCGTCCACTTGTCTGCCGGCTCCAGGCGTGCGTGTGTGCGCACGTGCGCTCGCGCGAATGGCCAATCACATTGGATGTCCACGAATCGGGTTATCAAGGGTAAGTTGGTTGCAGGCTTACAGTAGCCTTCATTCAACTGGGCATTGATCACCACATAGTTACGTCTGGTCAGAAATAAAAGACGGCGTGCGTTTCACAGGGGACCAGTAATAATTGCACACTCGGATGTCGGCCGGATCAGACAGCAAGAAACCGTTGATCGTGTGCACGTTGCACTTTGCGGAAGACGACGTCACTAGAGCAGTTTGCTCTGGTAAACTGGTTGGTGTTGTGTGAAACGGTTGTCTCAGTGTTAATTATATGTATAGTCTCATGAACTATGAATTTCCATTCTGTTTCATAACTGAATAAATTGAAATGCAAAATTTGCCGCTTCGTAGTTTAAAAAAACAGACCAGATTAACTGATAAGTATTAACGTAAATACAAAATGCTGCTCAGTAAAACGCGTGAAAAGCCCCGAATAAGTATTAACGTAAATACAAAATGCTGCCCAGTAAAACGCGTGAAAAGCCCTGAAATTAGGGAAATTTTCTGAGTAATGCTAATGTAATGCAGCTGTAATTAACTATCACCAGCGGTGCTTGCGACTCACTAAGATGGCATGTTAATGGTCAAAGTTATTGGAGTAAAGTTTTCGTAGTAACCAGTAAAACCATCGAAATTGCGAAGAAACATGCCAAAAAACTTCATCCACCATTATCTACTGGTTACTCTCGTTTGATATTTTCCCTTGGATGAGAACAATATCAAGAAAAATGAACCATGGTGTCAGAAACTAGTACATGAACCTGTTTGAGCCATGAATCTTGCAATTAAGGTACACAGGAACATATCTTCATCTGCATTTCGTCGACACGGTGTCACAAATATGTACGAACTCTAAGTGACTGTCATGTTCTGTTGGCCGAGCTTAGTGGTCGGTTTGCAAAGGCTTTATCACCAAGCATCAGTATACAAACTGAGAGAATCGTCTCCACTTGTTGCGGAACTTTTAGGAAACATGTTGTGAACTCGACCAACAGGCCAGCCACGGTTAAATTCATCCTAGTTACAGATACTTTATTCAGTCGCGATTCCATGCGCCTACTAATTTGCTTTGAAAACTCCACGTCACAAACCACTGATTACTTGCATCCACTAACCACCTAAGTGAACCATGACTTTGGATTTTCTCTTACACTTTGAATTATTAAGTCAGATCTTAGAGGAAGCATTCTGACATCCGTTGGCATGTACGAATAAAAAATAAGATGCGTGCTACACACACATACGATATAGACAGACTTTGCTTACCCGCTGCAATGTTGGCGTAAAGTGAACGAGAACATTCAAATTGCAAAGCTTGCCGGCAGATTATTTAACTCGGAGCGGTACCGGATAGAGGGGTTATCCGCTAAATGTTCGCGGAATGTACCCGGCATAGTCCTTGTTGCAAAGGAAATTGATGGGTCCGAAAGGAATTACGCAACGGTTGACGGATAGGCCACCTCCATCCCACGGATTTACCTGTCACACGCTACGGCTCGAGATGGAACGCGGGTTCAACCCGGTTGGTCGGATTCAGATGCCTGCACGTGCGTGCGTACGTGTATGTGCACGCATGTATGGGCACGTGTCTGTGTCGCCTGATCTGTCTGGCTCACACACGAGAACACGTGGCCGAGCCATACACACGCACACTTGCACGCCTGCGCTGTCTCCCCGGTTCCGTTTGGATTTGCGTTCAAGAGCACGTGAATTGAGACAGGTTTGCGCCAAATCCAGGGTGGCTTTGAGCCCAGGGTAGTGAAAAACAATGCCATGAGGCCTGGCCTGGATAAAGAGTAGGGGAAAAACAGCAGTAATCAACGGTGGGGATAGCAGCCGACTCTAAATAACAGCATTGCACTTTGGAACAGGCTGTGAAACACTACACAACTTCGGGTGTTGGCACAAGTTTGGTAAAAGCTTACCTAGTAAACGCAAAGGATACCTGCATGAACACTCGTCCGCAAGCACTTAGGTTTGGAGAAAGGGCACGTATTTTCAAACAGTGGATATTGACGACTAATTAAAACCATAGTGGATGCAAATGATATTGAGTTTACGATCCGTTACCATGCTCTTAAGAACAAGAAAACAACTACAAAGTTTGCCACTCTAATGCTACTCACCGCTGTCAGTTCTGACCACAACATATTCCAGAAATAAATAGGATGTATCAGGTAAGAAGCATTAAGTGTCAGTAAGCGTTCGATAGAGGACTTGGGGTTCCTTCGAATATCCAAAAAGCTGCTCATACTAAACTACCTGTGACAGCCTCCTTTGCAGGGTCTCATACCCAAAGAGTAAGGAACGCTTTGGCTCTATGTTCAGGAAACATGCAGAGTTTAAAAACATCAGGTTTGTATCTATCTGCGTTTAGCCAGCAGCTAGATTTCTACAGTTTTGTCAACCGCGAACTATTTGTTGATCCGTGGCGTGAACATGAAGTTGGCGCATTTCAGACAGCACTCACGTATGACTGTTGCGGTCATATCTGCAGTCCTTATGAATTTCATGTATGTTTCACAACAAGAAATTCTGATCTGGAATTAAAGGATAGAATTACCTTGATTGTAAAAAAACGGTTACGCATGCAAACATACGACAACAGTCATGCTTATTGAGACTAATATCTATCCGGCTATGACGCAAAGGATATCTAAGAGGAATGAAGTCATGTATGCATCACCTGCTGTTCTGCAAAATTTGTGAACTTTAGTGTGTGCTTTTGAAGCCCATCTTATGTCACAGTAAACAAAAAACAGGTTTTTGCTCAACGAAGCTGCGATAAAGGCGGTAAAAAGGGGTTACGCTTACCACAGCTAATACCGATGTGTATGTTCTGTGATAGCTGGCCTGGAAAAGGCAGAATAGTTATTATCGAAATACACTCGTTTGCAAACCAATTTGGTTTTGCGGCAGACTTACCTGGAAATCAGCTGAATCTCTCGTTTATGGTTTTTTTCAGCAACTAAAGGTGCTGCATCAGGCCGCCTCATGAGTAGTGTGTTACGTCAGAATAGACGAGAGCTTTAGCTGACATCCTTTCAGTCAGACGTTATCCCCTGGCTAATTTACGGATGCCTCTCTTCACCTAGTTGAAGTAGGACTGGAAAATAGGACTAACGGAATTCTAGGAACTACTCACGCCTCGTGAGACCAGAGAATGTCGAAGGGTTCTCATCAGCTTTATAAGGGCTGTTCTGTCCCCCTTAAAAGTGCAAACGCTGACCACTGAACTGATGAGGAATTACCACAACCGACTGATCACAAGTCAGCCTACCGCATTTTCGTTTCATGTGCCAGTTCCGGTAGTGTTACGAAAACCCAGTCTCAAGCGGTAGGCGGAGCGTATCTTAAAATCGGAAGCCTTGGGTTCCTTTAGTTCTCTTCTATTCGGTAAAATTCTCCTGTCTTTTCACTCCTAAAATCTTCACTGTGCTCTTGATGAGTGTGCGGATAGCCTTTTGACAGAAGCTTGTCCACTGCTTCTTCAAGGTAGCTACGAAACGTGTTGTTGCGCCATAGACGTTTGAAACTTTCTCCTTTCGTTGTGCTACGATTCTCAATTGTACCTTGTTCGGGTGTTATCAACAAAACTTGTTGATCAGTCTGTCATCCCCACTTGGCAGAAACCAGCCTCAGATGACATAAGTGAAGTGGGACATTGCTAAGCTATTCCACCCTTCTTTCTGGTCGTAGCAACGAGTAACAACGTTAAGCTCTACAGTCACTGGATGTGTGTACGAGTGCCCAAGTGATTGGCCGTTTGGGCCAGATTTCCCTTTCTGAAAGCTGAGACATCACTCAAATCCAGCAGCACTCATCTGAAATTGATTTTATGTGAACGGCGGTATTGCTTGTAATGCTTTCATGTCCAACTCATTGATATGGGAATACTTCCTATCACTGATGCCGGTGTAGTTCCATCGCTGACTTTACGTGTCGGACAATGTAGTCTAAAATACAATGCTTTGTGTGTGCGAAGGAACTGTAGTTTGGAATTTATTTTGTTTTTCGCCTCTTTTATATAGATCTGTTGCCCACAATGTGAGTGATCATTGCTCAATCTGTCGATTAACTCACACATGAATTGGGAGCCTTTTATGGTGACGGAATAAACAACTTAGCTATACGGACAGGTCATTAAGGCTCTGGTACCTGTACACAAACATCAATAAGCTTAATTTTGCCTGTCATTATCACAGGTAAAAAGGAAGGCATTATGAATATACCTGTATCGCGATACCTCGAATATCGTAGCAACTGAAACATGAGGCGGCCCGGTGCAGCACGTTCATTTGCCTGAGAACATCACAAACGACAGATTCAGCTGGGTTCCAGGTGAGTCTATCGCAAAACCAAATTTGTTGGCAAATGAGTGCGTCTCGCTAATTTTGTGAAATTTGGTTTCAAGTAGAACATAGGGTTGACGGAAACTCCACGACTACGTTCACCTGAAGAGCTCCAAGAAGGGAGAAACCGGTCGTGGACTGTCGACGAATTTTTAGCAGCCTTATGAGTAGTGCATTAGAAATATTTACATGTATCGCGATATCTCGAATACCAAAGCAACTGAAACATAATGCTACCTGGTGTAGCACATTCAGTTGCCTGGAGATTTAGATGAGTTTCAGGTGAGTTTCTCGTAAAACTAAATTTGCTTGCAAATGAGCGTGTTTCGCTTAGAAAGGCAGAACAGTGAAACAGGACATCTACAGATGTCTTTTGTCAGTCATGTGAAGGTGATGAACTGGGCGACCGCTAGTGTTGATATCCTGAATACAAGTACAACAAAAGTGCAAACGTCGGTGAACCAACAACAGCGTTCGTAGGTGCCTGAAGACTCAGTCAGAGTGCTATCTACACACTCGCCAACAGTACAGGGAAGATTTTTGAAATCTCTTTTATTGCGCTAACTTTGCCTTCTCCGTTATTTTCATACCAGTTGATCAAATTAGCATTTTTTGTAAATTAGGTGATTATCCTCTGATGGGGCTCGTCACCAGCTGT